AATGAGTCATAATTTCCCTCTGTTATACATAAGAGCCGAGAAAGTGGTAATCTTCGATCACAGGAGATCGTAATGAAAATATTTAATTAAAAAGTCTTTTTAATTTTTCACAATTTTAAACTTTTATTAACAAAATGGCCTACCAATTGGCATCAAATTCAATTAATTTCGAAAAATTCCAAATTAAATCGATTCTCTTCACTCCATAAGGTAATTATTTACGATTCGAATTTAATTTAAAAGAAGTAAATTCCAAACAGTCCAATCAGAAAACTTTTGTAAAATTGTTCCAAAATAATTTCATAATTAAACTGCAATTGAAAAACAATTGTAAACTTATAAATTCCCACTGTCGTCCGTCTGTCTGTCCTTCTTTAATCTCGAGAACGGAGTTAGATAGACAAAAGACGATATCAGATATGAAAAGATTAGAAGTAAGAGGACCCTATTTACTGTATAGAAACTTCCGGTTTGTATAGGAAATTACGTTATTTCAATTTACATATTTTCTTCCGAACTGAGTTAAATGACCAGTGTGATTCTACTGTTAACAGGAAAAGTGTTATGTACAGGGGAAGGACACAATTAAAATTAAAAGCATTGTGATGAAAAATTGCAGCCTGGTATTCTAACAATGTCACAATAGATAATAGCTCGTTTTCTTCCCATACAATTTCTACCAGCACCTTTACGTCTTCATTTTCGTTCAAGAGGCCATATCTCCTTAAAAAATCATCCTATTTTCCTGAAATTTTCTGGAAATATTCTACCCTAATACACAAACCTCCTTGCAAAATTTCAGAAATTTTACACAATTGGCACAGGAGCTATTAAGCTTCAAATTGAGTGAACACACTCGTGTCTCCACACTCCCAACCTCCTACTCACACTAACATCCAAAAATACAGAAAAAATCCCGCAAATTTTTATGTCCCCTAATCCAAAAATTTTAATTTGGGAGTAATTTTTTTGCCATACTTTTCTTCTGTTATAAAACAGAAGGGAAAGAAATAAAATTTAAAAACATAAAATAAAATCCGCCATATTTCATAATAAAAAAATATATATGTATGTATTTTTTATTTTATTTAAAAATATCGAATTAAATATTAAAGTTAAATTTAAAATATTCGCTTCATTAATTTCTAGCCGAAAGAATAATATAAAACGAAGATAAATCTGGTATTCCCCGTCTAAATCTAATATTTTGGAAAATAAATGAGGTCGGAAGACAACTTAAAAATGGATTTCCTCGGGACATTTTTCTTGTAGAAGTCGTTAAAGACGAAAAATCCATTTAGTTATCTTCCGGATAATCCAAAAAAAGACATCAAAGTAAAGCATCCCCCTTAATGTTTCAAATATTATATATATATTATTCTTATAATTGATACTTCAAATATAAAACAGAAGGTTGGTGATTCGAATTCAATTGAAATTTATATTATTTATTAAGGTATTATTAAAGTATTGTTTGTATACAATCCGAGGGGGGAGAACTTTCTACTAGAATATGGCCTTTTTAGCTGTTATAAACGTGAATAAAACCCGAAAAACACGCGGTCATTCCGTTAGTGAGGCGCGAACCCACGACTAGTGTTTAGTTCTGTTGGTTTTATTGGTATACAGCAATGGCACATTTTCCCATTGAAAGTAATCCCCCTCGGCAGATCGCCCAACGTATCTGGTTGCCATAAGCAAACAGATAGAAATTAATAATCTACCCGAATATTTCGTACGTGATCATTTTACTTATGACTAACGAGTGCCAACTTTTCACTTCACATCGATTATTTAGATAAGGATCGGGTTGAAATATCAATATTTTTATTCCAAACGTCGACGTATTAGTGTCTCGACAAACAGGTTTTAAATTTAAATCGATTCGTGAAGTAATTTTTTTCGGAGAGGGATCTTAGGGTGTGTTTAGAGTGGGCACGATTTCTTCACCCGCTTAATAACTCCTGTGCCTTTAGCTTGTTATAACTTCGTGGAGCCCAGATAAAATTTGCATTAGGTGGGGCCCGGTGTACGGTGTTGACCTCAAACATTTTCCTTCGGGGGGGGTGAATTTTCACGGGAAATATTTCTTATAAATGATTGTTAGGAGCCCCTCTTGGTGGGTGCCCCCAGACTTATTCCTGTTGAATAACGCGCCACTGCCAATTTTTTTTTGCCGGAAAAGTTATACAACTCCTTGCTGGCATTTTTCTTCTAGGCTACTTTTCTTAAAGACGATGGAAAAATAATTCACCAAATACGCGACAGTCCTCGAGGAATTGGATATTTATTACCCACGTGAAGGTATCTGTCATTTATTACCCTTATGGAGGATTAACACCTTTTTTTTTCTTCCTCTCGAACGTTCCTCGTAAAAGTTTCTTCTCTATTTTATCGAATTCGAAAGAAAAGTTCAGCGAAATTTCTATAAATCTTTCGAAATTTGATTCGTCAGCAAAAAATCCGACATTGAGAAATAAATAATCTACCGGCCAAGGCCACTATCAAATTTCATTCTTTAAAAAATACACTACAAACAATAGTTCAACTCTGTGTTGTAAACACTAAAAAACACTTACAAATCGGGTAGTTTCCTTTGTTAAAATCAATTAAAAATCTATAAAAAGAAGCATTTTATTTCAAAATTGTAACAGAAAAACCTGCCTAATAAGCGGGAAAATATTCTGTACAGTGCAATTACGTATGTTTTACTGTAGAATTTCAAGTAAAATTTAAATTTCTGGTGTTCGTGCCTATCGATTTTTCTCTTCGTTCTCGTGTTTTACCGGGGTAAATTTCTTTTTTTTTCCTCATAAATAGTTATACAGAAGCTAGAAGTTTCGTATTTGCTGATAACTTAGAATTTTATGGAAGAAAAAAAATATATCAATTACACGACTCCATTATAACGCCATTTTTACAAAATTAAATTAAACAATACTTTAAATTTTTATTGTTTACTTAAGTATTATCGTAAGTAGATTTGTATTTAAATTAATTAATTAATTTATTCTTCAAAACACTTGTATCTTACTTCATATTTTATAGTAATCCCTCATTATATCGCGCTGGATTTCGAGGTCTGTGATTGGATGGCAGTAAAAATTCCTATTGAATTTCTACTGGCATCCAATCATCGATCTTGTCTAAAGAGTATTTTTATATTTGGAAGACGGAAACAGCGCGATATATCGAATGAGCGATATAACAAGGGGTTTGTTATATCGCTCCCGATCTTTCTCTTACGAGAATTAACTCCAGCATCGGATGTAACACAAAAATTTCAAATTAGGATGATATTTATTGTTACAATGGCTTTTATTCTAGCAATTTGTTTTTCATTGTTTTCCGATTCTTCTCCCAATTTTCCATTTGTCTTCTTTTACGACGTGGTCGACGCCAGATTTCTCTCGTCTTAAGTACCCGATGCTATGTAATAACCCTAATATATCGATAAGAAGTTAATAAATTGATGGCAATCTGGTGTCCTTATCGTTCGTCGTCCCTCTATTTGTCTTCTATCGTTCAACAGTTTGAAAAATGAACACTTCCTTTCTTCTAAATCACTTCCAAATCGTTATTGCTACAATAGCAATAGTAATGACTAATCACAATAGAGTCCGTGTTATTGTATTCTGTTATTGTTCTCACAGTATTCCCCACACTAAAAATGGGATGTACGGAAAAGAAATTTTGTCATTAAACACTTTCTATTTACGAAATTATTCAAGTTAAATATCTTTAAATGCAACTGTTCTTACTAGGAATTGTTTTACCCACTATTAAGGCTCCTATTTAGGTGTTACAAACGTGAAGAAAACCTCTACTTTGACACTTTTTTCACGGAAAACTCCATTTCGTTGGCATAACGCGAACCCACGACTACGAGCTTTCAGTGGTTTTCCTTGGCAAAGCGCAAATCCACTACTACTGTGTTCGGTGGTTTTATCCACTCGGCCACTAATGGATCTCGAGAAAAATTAAGAATTTGTGTGTTAATAATAGTCTGTCAGCTTTGGGGATCCTACTCGCCCCTTTTGGGCCTGGCCGAATCCATAATGGACTTGGTAAAGGAGCCCTCTTAGTGCCCACAGGGAGGAGAGAATTAAAAAAATGCAGCAGGTTTTTTTTCGAAAATGATCAAAAGATAAATTGCTAACAACTTTTTATAAAAGAAACGACGTATTTTAAAAGAATTCTTGGGAAAATGGAACCATTATAACTTTTTTTTTATATTTTTGAGCACGTTCTTCTCGAATTATTCAAAATTCTGGACACGTTTTGTTCGTCTCAGAAGATTCAATTCCATTTAAGATTAAAAATATTCTCCAAATTAAGAAAAATGCCTCGATATTTTATCATTTTAAGCACCTATGACTTTTCTTTAGTCTAAACACAAGGCAAAATACAGAAATGCAGGCCTAGGAATGTCCTGTGTTCCACTTCTGACATCGTCTACACAGCGATTTTGACGTCATTCCACGACGGCTGGCCACGTGAAATTTTCCTTATAACGTTTTCTAAGTACAGTACATATTAACTGCATGGCCCTTGATTTGAAAGTAGCATTTTTCTTATTAATCATAATAAATAAAATTGTAAGTGGCGCCATCTGTTGTTATAAAAATCATGTTAATTTTAACTCAGAGATCCTTTTTTTGCAAGCCTATTACGGTTCGGCCAGGCTCACATTGGGGCCGCCCGAGTGGTGTGGAACGGGGAGGCCCGACACATCCTGACAGGCAAGAATTTTTAGGTCGTAGTTCTCGATGACAGGATCCAATATGGCTGATTGACCCGCTTTTTTATTCCTATAAGGGAGTAATGCAAATTGGTGACCTGCAGGGGCCTCCCAGATGCTTTATAGAAAAGTGGCCCCTATTTAGGTGTTAACAATCGTGAGAAAACCCCAAAAAATCCACGTGGCCAGGCGCAAACCTACGGACCAGTTTTCAGTAGACTCGGAAGGTGTACCCCATCCAAATAATGCAAATAAGAACTTGTAATGCAAAAATGAGGAAAAAGTTTTAATAATTCGTTAAAAAAGAATCTCATTCGATAATGTACATAAATTTTTATTGTAAAACTTTCATAAATCAGCCTGTATGATGATGCTAACACAACGTCCTTCTTTCCTCCTGATTGTAACTCCGTTTCACCGTACGAACACGTCTGTGTTCCGAAAACTCGAATTATCCCTATAAAGAGAGAGAAGAAATTAGAAAAATTTTTATAAAATTATTTAAATGTTATTTAGAAAATTGCTTTTTATTAAAATAAGTAAAAAGTGAATAACGTAAATTATTAAAACGCATTTCCTTATCAAATAATTTTTTTTTTTTTTAATTTAATACATTTTCCTGTTTTAAAATGTAAATTTGTCCTTAGAGCTCGTTCCTCTAATTTCCCCCCCCCTCGTTCTTTTATATTTAAAATATTTCTTGTGGAATAAATTTGAATATCTGATTTATAATTTATCCATTTTTTTTTATTACAGACATTACAAAATTTGAATTAATACAATTGAAATATAAAATGAAGATAATATTTCTTATTCTTTCCTCTCTGTGGACACTGTGAGGACCTTTTTAGCAAGCCATGGGTTCGGCCAGGCCCACAATGGGACTGGGGGCCCGAAATATCCGGATTCAAAAATTCCCAGGGTTTTCGACCCGCCCGGGTTTCCAGAGCAGTTCCTAATCGCTCGATTAGTATGAATTAGGAGTATACTTTAGAATTGTTTCCTTCCATTCCTATTAATCACGATTAGCAGAAATAGAAGAGAATAATTTTCAGGCTGCACCCCAGGAAGTAAATTAAAAAAAAAAAAAAAAAACAAAAGCACTGATTTTTCCACATTGCAATGCTGATTTTTGCATACTTTGAAAGGGTTAAAGGGTCTTTTGGAATAAAAAGCAATGTTACAATCATACTTCGCATTTGTGCTAAGTCGAAGATGTCCATACAACTGACAAACTATTCCTATATAAATATTTTGGCCATCTGAAAATAGCAATTTAATCTTGATAATTCATATTTTACTTGATGCCCTTGAAACATCCTTCATTTTGACAAAGACTACGTATTTACAGCATTGCATCTTACTATCTCACAATCAATTTGTCTGATTTCAATTGAGGTCAGAGCGTCGAATATACAAAGGTCTATTACAGTATACTCACATCAAGAATATAGTATATTCCTTAAGTTTGTTTGTTTGTTTTGGCAACGTTATGGCAAGGCAACACTTGGGCAATCTGCCTAAGAGGGATGCCTTCCAGCAGGTCTTTTTAAGGGTAACTGGCCCCTATTCAGGCGTTACAGACACAGAGAAAATCCTGAAAACTCCACGTGGCCAGCCCGTCCTGGTGAGGCGCAAACCCATTACCAAACTCTCGGTGTTTAGGGAATGGAACCGCTTGGCCACTTATTCCTTAAGAAAATCAACTCCAAAAAACCAATAGGCATTAAATTGGAGCAACTGGAGCACCAACAGGAAATTTTCCAGGGTGAGGCAAAGCTTAGAGACAATTAAATCAATAAATTTTTATTTAATTGTTTAATTTTTGGGGGTTTTTAAGACAGATAAAGATCCCATGATCGAGGTGTAAAGTTACGTATCCAAATCACTTTTACGATTATAATTTGTGGAATTTTTTATTCTATCCTGGAGAGGAGCTAGTGCCTCTGCAGATGCCCATACCTTTTGAGATCATCCAATCAGAATCCATAGCAGTAACTAATCTTGATTATTTCTATGGATTCGGCATACATACAATTATGTATCATTTTAATGGAAGTAACACTTAATCAGTTTGATATCAACCGATTATTCCACTAAACTCTAGAAAAAGGAACAATGATAATGTGAAATTCATAATTCTATAAGAAGAAATGTTAATCTGCTGAAAAGATTCCCTTTTCTAGCAAATGGTTTCTCACTAATCAAATTGTTCCTGTCAGCACTTAATAAGAAAGGCACTTCAATTTAAAACTACTTTCATTACAATCAGTACCACTGGCTCCTGTATTTTTGATAAATATTTGGATTTCATTTTAAATAGATCACCCTGCAAAAGCAAAATCTGCAAGATAAATCAAAGAAATAAGATAGACGAGTTCTGCTACACTTTGCTTTGCAAAAACAACTACCATCACTATAGGATAAGGCCATTAAATATTTTGTAGTATGAACAAAGTCCTCTTTCTTCTGAAATATTTTCCCTTATTCAGCAAACTAATGATGTAATTCTTTTAAACCATTTATGGATTTCAATTATATTTCACATCTACCTTGCAACAAAATTTAATGCTCTCTTATTGTTTCATCATTAAAGACAGCTAAAATTTGCATTCGTGTAAATAGTTCATAACTTCACAAGAAAAATAAACAAACTTAAAGCAAGAAATCAGATTCTACAGAAGAGATTCAAGATTGAATTTAGTACCATTCGTTCTACTTTTCAGTTGCTTCCCATTTTTTCAGTTTTAATTAGATTCTAAAACAAAGCCTTTACTTAAAACATACAGGTAGCCCTCGGTTTACGCCGGTTCACAATAACGCCGCTGCGCAATTCGCCGTTTTGAGGTGTAATTCCCCGATTTTCCCTATGCTAGACTGATTTTCATTTCAGTGTTGACGTATTTACCGAGCCGTGACATTTTACATTCATTAAAACAAAGATTTTTATTAAATATATTTATTTTTTCTTTTTAATATTATTGGGTATGTATATATTTGCATTAAATTAATATTAAAATACTACACGTTTAGGTACCCACGAGTCAAGATATTAAACTTAATAGTCCAATAAATGGCATCCGAATCCATAGCGCCAATGAATGTATCCCGTATCAGTTCATTCAGGAAAACACCTTACGATGCAATGGCACTGCCGGCAATCACAAATTATCGTTAGTGAGACAAATCTACTTCTCGTTGGCCAGACGATATTTATCTCTCCTTAGCCACCTTGAATTTTCCCGTTCAAACTGACCGACTCAAAGCAAAGACACTGATTGGTCGACCACCGGTCGACCAATCAGTGTCTTCGCTCATCTGTAGCTCTACATTGGGTTAACGTATCCTTTCAACTAAGGAAAGTTTGACGGATGAAGTTTGTGAGTTAGACAATGTTGGGTGCGAAGTGCAAATGTAAAAAGGAGCATCATATTTGAACATATTCCGAAATTCTTAATGAAAGAAATCAAAAATGTAAACAATTAAAGATGGATACTTTTTTCCGAAAAATGTAAGAAATTCGAAACTAAAATTTTTAAATAAAAACATTTTACTTTATTTTATGATAAAATACAAATTAAAAATTTATATGTATTTTGTATTATATTGTATTAATAAACAAAATTATTAGCTTATTTTTCACTTATGTAGAACCTAACCCTATACTTCACTGTAAATACTGGTTTGTTTTACGCCGATTCAATTTGCGCCGGCTTTTTAGGAACGGAACTGCGATGTAAACTGAGGGCTACCTGTACTTCCTATAAACAGTTTTTAACAGCATTAGTGCTCTGGGTTTTTCTTTTATGATTCAGGTTTGGCAAGCAGGTAGAGTATATTCGCATCTTACAAGAATTTCAATGTAGAATCATTATTTGCAGAGGCATCAGCATCAAAAATGTACAAATAATATCCAAAATATTGTAGAGAGAGGTTGAAGTAAAATCAATTTGTCAAATTAATACCATAATTATAACTTTTATACTACTATAAACAGATACATCATATTAGTTAGCATTCCAAATTGTAATTGTTGAATTACGAAATTTCTGTTGTTTACCTCTAAAGTCAGAAAAAATGTTGATGCATATAAATAAGATTTAAATGAAAGATAAGTGTAAATTACTTGATGCACCTTTAATAGTGAAATTTTTAAAAAAGAGCACTATGTTTTGGACCAAATTAATGGGTCATCCTCGGTCATTTGATTCTTAATAAAACAGGCTGGGCGCCCATGAAACTTTCCCTTTTCATCCCCTTTCCTATCTCGCTTTACTCTTTCCCCTTCGCCTCTTCCCTTAACTACCTTTCCTCTACTCTTCTTCACACTCGGGCAATACCAATGAGTAGTCCAGAGTTTTCATCCCCTTTATGAAAATGAAAATGTATTGGTACACCAGTTAAAAGACGAGTGCTAATTTTAGAAGAAAGGGCAAAGAAATAATATCCCATAAAGTAAGTGAGCAGGGAGAAGGGCTACAATGGCAACAGTTAATGTAAAAGAATCAGGAGATACTGCCAGGCGGGGAGATAAGTGTAACTGAACAATGAAATTATTGTTTATAAATGACACATTCAATTCATTATCTGTAATTGATAGGTACTGAATTCAAATTGCATTTACATAAGTTATTCACAGATACTTATTCCACATTTCCTATTGCATCAAAATATTTTTTAATTATAATACTGTATTTTGTTTCATGCTAAACAAAAAATGTACATTTATTATTAATGTATCATAACAACATTCACATTTCATTACTTTCCATATTAATCTCTACTAAATGCTTATAAGTATTTATTTTAAAAAATGTGTGCAATAAATTCTGTAATGGAAGAGGGAGAAACCCTCAATTATAATGATTAAAATTTGGTACACCATAACCATAGAGACACTGATTACTATTGTTTCTATTTTTAATAAAAACTCCTTTATATAATAACATTAGTAAAAGTTAATTCTTTTGCCAAGTAAAACCATAAAAATATCAACTTTATATTATTACTAGCTGTAAGGACCCGCTTCACTAGGTTTTTATTTGTATGTAATATAGTTTTTTTTTTATATATAAAAGACTGTTTTTCTCAGTAATCTAGAATCTAGCTGCAAGGACCCGCTTCGCTGGGCAAAAAGTAACAATAGTGAAGATTAAGATAATTACATTATAGCCAATCTTACCCATTTTCACAGAATGCAAGAATTAGGTCCCCCATTTCCAGACTAATTAGAGAATTTTTACGAGTCTAAAAATATGTTCGATTTCCCGCGCAAAAAACCGCCTGTAAATCTTGCATGCCGCTTTATATTAACACTTCCTTTGTTACTCAACACTTCCATTGTTAACACTTCTATTGTTGACACTTCCATTGTTACACATCTTCGAAGTCAACCACTTTCAACCCCATATCTCCCACACCCTTATAGCATAGAATGCAAGAATTAGGTCCCCTGTTTCCAGACTAATTAGTACATTTTTACGTCCAGTCAAACAAACTATTTTCAATTTGATCAATTTTCTGTAACGTTTACAATCGTTCTATAATCGAACCAATTTGAATTTAAAACGGTTCGAACATTTTTAAAATCGAAATAGAAAATCTTCGAAGTCAACCACTTTAATACCCCATATCTCCCGCACCCTTATAGCTATCGAGACGCAACCACCATAGTGCACAAATGGAGACTTGGGGCTACTACCATATGCAAACACAATTCATGTGCGATGTGTAGTTTTGGCCGAAAAGTGAAATATAGGGACACACACGTCCATTTATATATATATATATTATCTTATTTACACATGTACTGTATATTGCAGGAACAATCTAAACAGCTTGTTTAATTAGTAATTAGTTTTTACAACACCTCCAAACTATCGCAGTGTTTCTAATAGAGCAAAAACATCTCTTGAGAGTGAAGATAAATTTTCGAAAAAAAAAAAATTTGTTAGTTTTAAAAAATATTAAAAGCAGTTACCTCATACTATTATTATGCGTCTTGTACTCCATAATCGTGTTGGGTGGGAGATTAAGAACACGTTTCAGTGTGTCTCTTATTCGAATAGTAGTAGCTTGGTCACTTGAAGTTTTATTCCATACTGAAATAATATCTTCCTGAAAGATTAAAAAATTTTTGAGTCAGTATCTCGTGAACCAAAAATTTGCTTAAAAATTAAATATGAACTCTTTAAATGGATAAATATGTCACAAATTAAAGGATTACATTCCAAAACTTAGTCAACCCAATGCATTCACTGACAAAGTGCTGAAAGACAACTGTAGGTATGATGAAATATTTGTGTCAAAAATGCAAGCATGTTTTCGATACATGCTCAACCTGGATTTGGAAAGCCTCTATATATGACATGTATAGAGAATTATTGTGAGAAGTTGAAGAAAGTAGTAATCAATACAAAAAAGATGCGCAAAAGAAGAGCTTGTAAAAGCATATGTATAAAGCAACAGAGTGAAAGAATTCTACAAGAAGTTTAAGAAGGACCTACCAGAAAAAGTCACAGTGTCTTTTGATTGTCAGCAAACCAGATGCTTCCAAAACCAACTCTTTTGAAAGCGGCTGGTGGGGCAGGACAATAGAAGTTTTTATGTACATCAAGTTGTTATTTCAGACTTACTAAATCCTAGACTTACATTTTCCCACAAAATTGAGTTTGTGAAATGGATTGTGCAAATCTAATCCTATTTTCTTTCTAGGTATGGTTATATTCATGGGTGGACCAAGATGGTAAAACTTCTGGTTATGTTGAACACATGATCTTATTATATCTGGCAGGAAATGAACAACTCAAAGCATCAATTAGGTGGCATTAGCTTTTCTACACCACATGCTTGATCTGCAGCATCAGCTCTCAGATCATATCAGAAAAGTCAGATTGTTTTCTGATAGCACAGCATTAAAGAACAAAAACCACATAATACTGTACTGTTCTGGCTTGCTACATATTAGAAATGTAGTTGAGAAATATGTTTTGTGTAATATGTTTTGAGTACATGAATATAGTTTTATGCCCTCAGGTTGTCTCTTTGGATTAACAGAAAAAAATTGTTACCATCATTGTAAGATTTTGATACTCGTTGATTATTGTATTATCATGTCATAACACTATAATGTCTTCAGATATGGCACAGATTGAAATATGTAAGACTTTAAATCACTTGCTCAAGACTGGTATGAAGCCATATAACTCTGTTTAAGTTTTCTGACCAGAACATTATACAATTTGTGAAGCAGAAAGTTAGTAAGACTACACTATGTCAGTTCATTGTATCATAGGGAAACACTAAAGTTCCTATTTTGTGTAAAGGCAAAAAGTTTGCTGCTCTTTCTAAGGCAAGCAAGCCCTTTATCAAAAGAAAATAGACCCATATGAAAATGCAAAATATGTGCAAAAACTACAATATGTTCTCAAGTGGATATTGTACCACAACTCCAATCTGTAATGTGTTTATGATATTTTAGATGCAAAAACTTATGTAGTATTTTGTCGTGGTTTATTCCACAAAGGATTTCTATGATGATGAAAGAATTTTTATCTGAACATGCTAAAACACACAAATCTCTGATGTTTGGAATATAATGAATTATACAAATAAAAGAAACCACTGTTAAGTGTAATATAAACATTTGATCAATGCATTTAATCAGTCTCAATCATATCATTACTGCAGTGTAATCACAAAATACCCTTAAATGCAAATTTATACATGTAAATTTTGTAATCTGGTGGACATAAACTTTTGTCTTCACAATTTTCTAAATTGTAGCCAATGTATATTTATTATATAGCAATTAAATTTTCCAAAAAAATTCAAATGTAAAGAGAATTACTAAACAAAATGAATCAATATAAAAAATGTTTATTTTTATATTTATGAAATTTGCTATGAATAAAACCTTTTTTATAAACCTATAGTATTTTATCTATCTGTATCATTTCAAAATTATTAATTTTTTTCTAATAGATTTTATATAAAAATTACCATATTCTAGCATTTATAATGAAGTTTCTTAACTATGGAAATCCCTAGAATTCAAAGAAAAAGGATCTCAACTGTTAGTAAACAAAAAAATCTTACTACTGTAATAATGTCATGTTCACTCTCTTTCCTACTTAAGGGATAAAATCATTTTTATTCAATCACATTAATATTTCAGAAAGATAAATACGTGTAGTAATATTTGACAGACATTAAATCACACTGATGCATTGCAATTACAATAATTTATTGCAATTTATTCTTAAGAAGACACGGAATGTACCTTGCTACAGATATTCATTTTAAACTCATTTGTTAATATTTTTCAATCTGATAATACTTTAAAACTTTTAATCAATGAAAAAATATAATTTACCTGATAGCGTATTGATATTACAGCACCGCAGATTTCTTCTCCAACCATAAACTGTTCTCCTAATATTGCAAGTATTAAATTTTCCCAACAACGAGAAGCTAATCCTTTTCTCAATCGGACAATCCATTTTCCTCCATCTCTATTTGCCTCATCCTAGAATTATGTCAAACGTTTAACAAAACTTTTATCATAAAAAAAAATCATAATTCTCTTATATATATATATGAATATTGAAGAATGAAAATGAACAAATATCTGAGAATTTTAAAGTTTTGAGTTCTAAAATGGTTTCTTTTTATGAGATTTCTCTTGATAATGAATATGAAGTCTGAAAGTACTTGATTAATGTTGATTAATACCAAATGATCTGCCAGATTGCATCGGACTATGCTATGACTACATTCAATAACTACATACTGAGTAATTCAGCCTATAAGAAAAGAATCAAACCAGAGTGGGGACTCAAACCCGCAACTCCCCGGGAAGAGTAACTGGCAACACATTCACACAGTAAGAGGGTGGTGTTACTCAAATTACTCAATATGCAATTATTGAATGTAGCCATAACATAGCCTGGTAACCACCTGGCATATCATTTGGTGCCAATACAGGTAGCCCTTGGTTTACGCCACAGTTCCATTCTTACAAAAGCCAGTGCAAACTGAATCGGCATAAAATGAACCCATATTTACAGTGCAGTATAGGGTTAGGTTCTACATAAGTGAAAAATAAGCAAATAATTTTTTTATTAATACAATATAATACAAAATACATATAAATTTAATTTTTATAAATGTATTTTATCATAAAACAAAGTGAAATGTTTTTATTAAAAAATTTTAGTTTTAGATCTCTTACATTTTTCGGAAAAAAGTATCCATCTTTAATTGTTTACATTTTTGTTTTTTTTTCATTAACAATTTCAGAATATGGTCAAATGGATGTGATAATCCTCTTTTTTACATTTACACTTTGCTCCCAATCATTGTCTAACTTTCCATAGTTGAAAAGATACACTTTAGATCAGCCGTTTTCATAATTCTTGGAGTTTCTTCTTCATCGTTCTTCTCTATATTGGGTCCGCAGCTAATTCAAATCTAACGGTTCGTGGAATGTTCTCTATTGGTCTAGATCTGACCAATCGCAACAAGCCACGATTCTGCCACAACATGTGGTGTCTTAGTAAACTCGTATCTAGCTAGGATTGGTCAAATCTGGACAAAATCTAGTCAAATCTAGCCTGGGGAATTACACAGCGAAACAGCGAATTGTGCAGCGGCGTAAACCGAGGGCTACCTGTACTTTTACTTTTTAATAATGGGAACCATTCACTTATCGATTACAGCATTATCTTATTGTTTAATGTTAATTACTGAAAAATTAGTGTCTTGTTTTATGCCTGTAAATTGCGGCACAATCTAGAAGATAAATACAAGGCTTTCAGAACTATCACAATTGTTTTAAATATCTTTTTAGACTATTATTTATAGACAAAGTAATGTCATCTCAATTATGGTTTTTTTTTTTATTGTCTATTTTCAGTATTATTCTCTTGCATAACTTAAGTTTTAACTGAAATATAATTAAATCAGAATTTTCTTTTGTTCCGTATAATCGGCAGATTTATCAATTTGAAATAAACTGTAAATTTAAAAAAGTTCTGTTGTAATATACTTACTTCCCACATCGGTTTAATTCCGTATTTAAATAAATGAAAATCTCCATAAGCTCCGAGATCGGACGGCCGAACTAAATGGCTATATAATAACCAGAATTTTTCCACCTAAATAATTGAAATTTGTAATAATAATTAAATTTTTTAAATATATATGTATATTAATAAAATATTCTAAAATATGTTTTTAAATAAGTTCTAAGAATTTTATTTCATTAAATTAAATAATGTCATAAATTAATCTATAAAAAATAAGTAAAACAAAAATGTTCTCTCTTCATTTCTTCAGTTAAACATAGAGTTCAATGTTATCTGAATGTGTCAAAAGCTACTTTATAGTCCAATAATTTTATCATCATCATTGTCCGATTACTAGCAGTAAATCAAGATTACAAATAAATTAGTTTAATTAACAAAGCAAACTTAAATTAATAAATAAATGATGATTGCAACAATCCTTAAACTTTTAGGTGGCCACTTTTGCAGTTCAATACTTAGCACCCTACTGTATTTGATCATTTTGTCATAAAAACTATTTTTAGATTGAAGTTATATATACGTATGCACCAATTCACATGCTACTTTGGCTTATATTAAGACACGAAATTTCTTCCAGTTTGACACTAGAAACTCGCAATTTATTTAAAAACTGTGTTGACATTACAGTACTTTCATTTGGTGGATAAAAAGGACAGTGCACTCCAGGAAACAACTTTGTAGACATCGACATTATCAGCTTGTTTAAATAGTGATTGTGTGCAAACTTCTGCTGATAGTAAATTTTCAAAAATGTCAATTGAAATATTAGAACTGATAATGAAACAGTTTAGCCACAAAAAATCATTTAATCTTAATAAAAATAATGTATATATTATTAACTGTCCACAAAAACACCTTTATCAGTGTTGTGTTCGTTACAAATATCCACTAACATTTTCGACCTCCACTGAGGTCTCCCTTGACCGTTAGAACGATGTCGTCCGAGATGTAAATATTACACGTATCACGTTTCATCCCTCTGCTTGTCCCCGTTCGAATTCTTCGAATAGGTATCTCCACTCCTGCACGATCGTCTCTCTGTCTTTTAAGTTGATACAGGTGCCCCCAACATTGGCTTTACAGATCTCCCAGTCCTCCAGGTGACGGATATGATCAATTTGAAATGCCTGTCTGATTAATTTTGTGTTCGGGAAGTCCACCCAAATTTCAGGGTTGCTAATGTACGCCGTCAAGGCGGTGGTGTGCCTGTTATTTTTAATGTCTGATTGATGGTCGCGTAACCATTTTTATGTTGAGCACACAGTAGAACCAATATAAACTAAGTTTCTTTGGAATCTATCATCCCTGATAGGAATGGAGTAAACTCCTGGGGCTCTGTTGAGATCTATCGCGTCTTTAGCATTGCGCAGCAGGTTATAAATAGTGCCGGTCCTCCTGTACACGATCTTTGTGTGATTATGGCAAGCAATCTCCCTGTATAGGGGGTCCAAATGTTGGTTGAACTGGATGACAGTGTTATAGTTGGAAGATGTTTGTGTATATATTATTAAACTGACATGGCAAATTTCTCATAAAAAGCTTCTCATTCTACAAATTGTACCAATCTATTTAAAATAACCTATATATTTGGTAAAATTTTAATTTAATAGTTAATTAACATTTATTGACTAAACGAACAATGAATTTTTTTTAATTATGTTGTCGATCAATCAGCGTTGTGCTAACTGAATAAAAACACGCTGATCGACAATTTAAATACACAGCCAGAGTGCCATTTTAATGGTTAAGTTTGACAGCAAGTTATTAGCGGTGTCCGTCTATTTAAATAGTCAACTCTTCCATGGAACTAATCGATTAGTTTTAATGGGTGTCTAGCATTTGAATACTTTCATTCAAATAAAAAGTAACTGAATAAATTTCAGTTAGTTTGTAAGAAATGATAGCATGTATTCATGCTTTTATTCATTTTTTAATCAATTAAACAAGCAATTACACTTTTTTAACGCAGGTGCTCTCAAGGTTGTTGACATATTAATGAGCTTTACAATTCTGTTTCGCTATATTGTAATTGCTCACGTAAACTAATACATCTTTATTTCTCTCATTACATATAAGTTTTTAAAGGTTTTGTACTTTTAAAACTTATAAATAAAACAAAGATTTTTAAATGTGTCTTATACTCAATATAGCTGTGAAGTTTGTTCCTGTTTTTATTTAAACAATGAATTATACTGTACATTATTACATGTGTAGAGATCTCTAACTTATTGTTTAAATTTTTACAAGTAAAATTTACAAATAATTTTTGGTAATTTTGTATGATATGTAAACAGACAGTTTGAAAAAAGCTTTTTTTTTGTATTATTGAATGAACAAAGTCATAATTAATTTCAAATAAATGCAAAGTGTTACATTTCCTTAATTTCAAAACAGCTATGGCTTAAAATAAATTGTCGCTTATAATTATTTTTTTTATTAATAAGAAAACCCTTATTACTAAACACACTCAACTGCTGCGGAAGATGATGATAACACTGAAATGAAAATAAAGTGTCTCAAGGAAGAGAAACTGGTAAAAAACATGAAGGTCCATTTGTTCATCTTTATAGTTTTAGTGACTTGTAGGGCCTGATGATAAAGATATGATAAAATTTAATATTTAACTTTACTTCTATTATATCTAAAAAAGGTTATATTCAAATGAGATATGAAATTGGAGTTGATATTACTAGACAATGTTATCACTTTCTTAATTGAACACAAATTGCATGATGCAAATACTTTGTCATTGTTGTCAATTTTAATTAACACCTGTAGAAGGTATTATACTTTCATTTTGATCACCAATTAGACATTTAAGAGAAGCACACAGTTCATCCACGCTGTCTGTATGCACACTAGTCAACACACTATTCGTAAGTCTCTTTTCATTAAATTTATATACAATGAACAAAATGCCACTCTTTTTAATAAACTTGTCTAGTCTATTGTGCTCCTCTCAACATGGACTGTGCCCAGTTAATCGTTATTCAAAATCGCAAATTGAATAGCATTTTAAAAATACTTTTCTTTAAACACTTTGAACAGAGTTTTCAACAAATTACATTAAATGGTTTTATTCAATTAAAACTATTGTCTCACCTCTTGAATTGAACTGATTATTCCGAATAATAATACAGGTAGCCCTTGGTTTACGCCAGCTCAATTTACGCTGATTCACAATAATGCCGCTGCACAATTCGCTGTTTTGTGGTGTAATTTCCTGATTTTTCCTATGCTAGACTGATTTTCATTTCAGTGTTGACGTATTTACCGAGCCGCGACATTGTACATTCGTTAAAACAAAGACTTTTATTGAATATATTTATTTTTTCTGTTTAATATTATTGGCTATGTATACATTTGCATTAAATTAATATTAAAATACTACATGTTTAGGTACCCATAAGTCAAGTTATGAAACTTAATAGTTCAATAAACGGCATCAGAATCCATAGCACCAATGAATGTATCCTGTATCAGTTCGTTCAGGAAAACACCTTACAACACAGTAAGGTGTTTTCGGCAATCACAAACTATCGTTAGTGAGACAAATCTACTTCTCGTTGGCCAGACGATATCTAACTCTCCTTAGCCACCTTGAATTTTCCCGCTCAAACTGACCTTATATATGCGCTATGGCAACCGGTGGTCGACCAATCAGTGTCTCCGCTCGTCTGTAGCTCTACGTCGGGTTAATGTATCCTTTCAACTATGGAAAGTTTGACGGATGAACTTTGTGAGTTAGACAATGATTGGGAGCGAAGTGCAAATGTAAAAAGGAGCATCATTGCATCCATTCGACCATATTCCAAAATTCTCAATGAAAGAAAACAAAAATGTAAACAATTAAAGATGGATACTTTTTTCCGAAAAATGTAAGAGATCTAAAACTAAAATTTTTTAATAAAAACATTTCACTTTGTTTTATGATAAAATACATTTATAAAAATTAAATTTATATGTATTTTGTATTATATTGTATTAATAAAAAAATTATTTGCTTATTTTTCACTTATGTAGAACCTAACCCTATACTGCACTGTAAATATGGGTTCATTTTATGCCGATTCAGTTTGCACTGGCTTTTGTAAGAATGGAACTGTGGCGTAAACCAAGGGCTACCTGTATTGGCACCAAATGATATGCCAGGTGGTTACCAGGCTATGTTATGGCTACATTCAATAATTGCATATTGAGTAATTTGAGTAACACCACCCTCTTACTGTGTGAATGTGTTGCCAGTTACTCTTCCCGGGGAGTTGCGGGTTTGAGTCCCCACTCTGGTTTGATTCTTTTCTTATAGGCTGAATTACTCAGTATGTAGTTATTGAATGTAGTCATAGCATAGTCCGATGCAATCTGGCAGATCATTTGGTATTAATCAACATTAATCAAGTACTTTCAGACTTCATATTCATTATCAAGAGAAATCTCATAAAAAGAAACCATTTTAGAACTCAAAACTTTAAAATTCTCAGATATTTGTTCATTTTCATTCTTCAATATTCATATATATATATAAGAGAATTATGATTTTTTTTTATGATAAAAGTTTTGTTAAACGTTTGACATAATTCTAGGATGAGGCAAATAGAGATGGAGGAAAATGGATTGTCCGATTGAGAAAAGGATTAGCTTCTCGTTGTTGGGAAAATTTAATACTTGCAATATTAGGAGAACAGTTTATGGTTGGAGAAGAAATCTGCGGTGCTGTAATATCAATACGCTATCAGGTAAATTATATTTTTTCATTGATTAAAAGTTTTAAAGTATTATCAGATTGAAAAATATTAACAAATGAGTTTAAAATGAATATCTGTAGCAAGGTACATTCCGTGTCTTCTTAAGAATAAATTGCAATAAATTATTGTAATTGCAATGCATCAGTGTGATTTAATGTCTGTCAAATATTACTACACGTATTTATCTTTCTGAAATATTAATGTGATTGAATAAAAATGATTTTATCCCTTAAGTAGGAAAGAGAGTGAACATGACATTATTNTAATTTTAAAAATTTTTGTTCTAAATTTTGATTTAAATATTTATATTCTATACATGGAACGTATCTGTTCCATTTTCGTTTTTTTAGACCTGAGGATGGCCTGTTAATCAGGTTGAAAGCGTTTGTGTTTAAAATATATAATTCTCAGCAAAATTAAGGTGTTCTAATATATATATTCCATCAGACATTGTTAATCTAACAGTTCAGAATGTGAGAAAATAGAATATAGGTTTTGGGAATGCCATACATTTTAAATGTCAGGAACAAACATCACATTTTACACACAGAATCCCTGGAAATATATAAATCAGTACATTGTGGCCATCCATTAACTATCTTACAAACAGAGAGAATGGTACATTTCTCTCTATCCTTGAGTTCAGGGAGACATTTATTTATTTTATGTTTTTATTGTATTTATTTATGTTGTTTTATCGTATTTCATTTTTGTTACAATTTGATATTCCCAAAACCAAACACTTGAATTACATTGTTTAATGGAATATTTGTAAATCCGAAGATGATTTCTTAATAAGACTGAAAATGTTAGTTGTTAAGATGTTCTTACTGCTCGAAAGAATTGTTAATAATAAAAATGTTTTAACAAATTACTAATTTAAAACTGCTTACTGTATTGAAAACCCCAACAAGTTTTAATGTCTGATCGTACGATTGTATGTTGCCTTGTTTTCCAGGAGAACGTCGTGAAAACCAAAGACCATACGTAAACTGCAGTTTATGTTCTTTTGGGTCGGCTTCTGTTATCAGTGCCTAAAACAATTTTTTTTTTTAATTTTTATATTAAAAACATTCATCATCATATTAATTTTATTTAAAATTTCATTTATTTAAATTAAATTAACTTAAAAATTTATTCTTAAAGGCTATATTGTATGTATGGCTTATAAACGTGACATGGATTACAATTTGTACAAGAGTAAGCAAAAGCCTACATTGATGCCAATTCATCAAAAGAAGTGGTTTGCATAGACTAGAGACCACCTGCCTTGGATGGCAGAGGGTGATTCGGTCTGATGAGTCGCACTTTCCAGTCCTATATGAAAATTTCAGATGTAGAGTCATCTATCGGCCAAATAAAGGACTTACCCAAAACCGTGTGAAGCAGGAAGTCAAGTTTCTGAGCACAATTTAAGTGTGGCAGGTGTTTTAGGTATTCTGGCATTAGTGATTTGGTTCCATATGATAGGACTGTCAATGTACAATGCTACAAGGCAACTTTTCAACAGCATTTTCTGCCTTCTATGGTTCATCTTTGGCTAGAGGAAAATGCACTCTTCCAGCAAGACCTCACAAAGCTGCATACTGCACACTCCAATAGTGCTTGGCTTTACAAAATTGAGTCCAAGTCCTGGACTGAGTTCCAAATTCTCTCAATCTGAACACCAATCAAAGACCTTTTGACTTGTCCTCAAGAAAGAGGTGCAAAAATGCAAGCCTCATACAAAAGATCAGTTGAAGATGGTTCTTCAAGAAGTTTGGACTACATTCCACAGTATCTTTGCCATGCCTATGTCACACTGATGCTTAGGTGAGTTGCTGACATTTATGCTAAAAAGGGAGGACCCACAAAGTGGTAATTATATGCAAATTCCAAGTGTGCAAAAATTTATTGCCTCCAATTTTTTGGAGGAATAATGCTTTTAGGAATGTATGGAGATGTCTGTTACAGTGATTGAGTCATCCATAGCTCAAATAGAGTACTTTATTAACCAAGTTTAATTTCAAATGCAAACAAGTTCAGTTTTTTTACCATTTATAACAACCGTGAATGAGGTGTACATATATTTATTGCCAGAGGAATAATGTAACAAGAGGTACTTGTCACATCAAGAGTATTTGTAGAAATGTACTGATTTAACGTACGAGTAATAACTGACTTTATCAGATGCACTTTCTATCACTACTGTGTTACAGTATTATACTCACATTTCTTTTCCAAACTTAATCCACAAAACTACAGGTGTTTAAGGGAAATACCTTATATAATCAATGAAATGTTTCTGATCTTAATATAATAAAATTCATCTTATAACCAAACATTCTACTTTTAACATTTCCAAATTACAAATAATTGGTGTTGTTATTGAACTGTATATTGGCAATATACAGTTCAATAGCAAGACACAAAACAAATGATAGTCAGTTGTGCCAAGTCTGGGCTGTAAAGTGGATGAGGTAGAACATCCACACCCAGACTGGTCAGCTTCTCTAGTCATCTTTGCTGTATATTCTTACAAATTGTCATGGTAGCATCGGACTTTGTCAATTTTTGGAAGAAGTCCTTGGTGAAGATTTTGGTGTTCAAATAATCCAGTTGTTTACAGTAAAGTTCTTTTATGATAGTGATGTTAGTTGGCTCCATTGTGATGATGCCAAACAAATATAGATCATTACCTTCTTCTGCATGATTTGCCCTTTAACATTTGTAACAGCTGGTTGACTTTTGTTTACTCACAAATGCTTTTACAAATGCTTTGCAAGTGAGACTCTGAATCATAACTGCATTATGGCCACTTTTGAAGTAATAGAGACAGCATGCAAATATATTCTTTTGAAAGTTTTGTATTATCAGACATTGCTGATGTGTCTATTTCCAATGAAATATGTGATGAAATGCCCTTTGGTTACTACACTTATTTACCCATATCAAATGTTATAAATTATTTTTTTCCAGTCTTTTCTAGGAAAAATCAAAATGTCTAAATTTCATCTTTACAATCTGATTAAAAAAAATGCAGCAAGATTTCTTCTTTTGGTGCCCTATCAGTTTTGGATGTTGCCTGTCATCATGGCTATCATATTCCTATTGCTAGCTGTTCTCAACAGTTCTGAAGGTATTTCACACCACTCCCTTGGGTTTCTCAGTCATGAGATTCGATGTCGTCCTGGTCCTCTTTTTTCAGTTGTATAATGAGTTGTAGGATTCAGTACTTGACACCATCATGTGGCCGAAGTATTCCAACTTTCTTTGTTTAATGGCGTTGAACAGTTCATGTTTTTCCATTCATTGCAATATTTCTACATTGGTCACATGTTCTAACCAGGATACTCGTAGAAGCCTTTGGTAAATCCATATTTCAAAGTAATGTACATATTTTTTGCCTGCATTTCCCAATAGTCTCTCTGATCTTGAGCAAATTGAAGAAATCGTGTTTTTCTGGTATTCTTCTATCTGTGCACAATTCAGTAATATGATCTTCCTTTACAGTTCTTATTTCTCATCAGATAATCTTTTGTATTTCATCATATTTGGTTTTATCTCAATTTTTGAAAGTTCTTCTTAAATCCATTAAGTGGATTATATTATCAATCATCCATTCTTTCTTCTTGTTCTTTCATTCTCTTCTGCAGAAATGCTTATTGCTAACTTTCTGGATGTCTCTCTTAATTTCTTCCATTTATCTTCTACAGATGTTCTCTCTTGATATGTTGTCATCTTTTCTAATTCCTCTTGTACTGTCTGTCTTATTGTTGCTCTTTGTACTTGCTATATATCTTTAAGGATGGTAATGTCATGGCCAGTTTTATGTCATAGATGCTGGTGGTAAACCAATGGGTTGTGGTCTGATGATAGGTCTTGGTTGCAGTGATGCTGCTACAAAATCTTTTATTTATCAGAATAGTCTATTTGATTTCTGATGATGTTATCTGGTCTATCTGCTGGAGATTTTCAGGTTAAAGAATTCTGGGAGGCAGTTTGAACCAGTTGTTGGTGATCACCATATTCTCCTCTTTGCAAAACTGTACGAGGTGAGTCCCTCTTTCATTTCTTTCTCCAAGACCATGGGGTCCGACAATAGTTATCTCCTTGCCCTGTCCAACTTTTGCATTGAAATTTCCCAGTATTATCGCGATCTCACTTTTCTTTGTGTGTTTTAGCACTGCCTTGATCTAATTTCTGCTGATTGTATACAAATCGCATACTTTGCAACTATTAAAACATTGTGTCTGTACCCCCTTTGCTGTACACACTCGCAAACTTGTCATGTTTGTTTTTATACTGTTTCACTGAACATATTTTGTCTTGTCACTGTATTGTTACTTGTTCAACAATTATGATGCAGACGCTCAATAATCCGACATGTCCCTTCAATCTTTCCCTCCCTACTTACAATCACTTTCTCTCCTAATTTCAACTTCATCACTTCTAATTTCTTACAGGTAAAGTCTGTGCACATACAGACAACCTCTCTACTCTTTTAATGTAATGTAATGCTGATTGTATTTTTACGTTCTCTAATATATAAGAGATGCAAATTAATACAAAGTTATCAAGTTGGCAAGATCGCAACTGTTGAATTCCCTTTATGGTTAAATTATAGATGAATCATATTGCCTCCGAGGAATTCCTATATTTAGCAGAATTCAACCAAAATATTGAAGAAATAACATCGTCACAGTTCATTCTTATCCTTTTTGACGAAGACATTGTCTAAGACTTATGATCAATCGAAGTTTTAAAAGTAAAAAATGAAAACTAAATTTAAACAGTAATTTTTATAGAAATTTGCATATTCTAGGTACGAATGAAGAAGAAATCCTCAATGTCATCAAATAAATCAATTTTTNACATAAAAGGGCATATTGCAAAAGATCAGTAATTTGGAAGGAAATTCAAAAATGACTTAACAATATTTAGGTAAATAAACAAAAGGATCGCTGCAAACGATTAGGGTTTCAGAAGGGCGATATCGCAAATGTCACACATTGACCATCGGTTACTTCGACTTTACTCCTAAAGGCAAGGTCTCCGACAAGGACCCGACCACCACATTCAGAGTTATATTTGTACCAACGATTACACTCAACAACAAAAGCAAAGAATAATACAAATTGGGTCGCACGAAGATTTAAACCGGGGGTGACAAACAGGCAGTCTGCGGATGGACACGGCCCATCAAGGCTTCGCATCCGGCCTTTGGCCCAGACTATTTCATTTCTAAAAATCAACATTTCTAACATCTCGTGGGGATTAAAACAGAAGAAATTCAAATGTCTAACTGTTTACGTAAGTCGTAAAGGCCCGGCAACAAAAGGGCCTTCGTCAGAGCCTTTTCTTTTAATCACAGTACGTCTGGGTTTACCGAATAATATTGAATACGGCACGCATCACGCACACATCTATTCAACCGACCCTTTGTCGCGTTTGAGTTTGAGACCACCAATTTAAACAAAATCTTTTACAACAAATCTAACTTATTCAAGCTATGAGGTCAGTTGATATGTACTACAATAAACAGAGCCCGCAGAAGATTTTTCGGGGCCACAGAAAAGTTATTACAGCAAGAAAGTATTTATCATCAAATCATCTTAGAAATTTGAAAGTGAGGGACCCTTCCGGGCTCCAAGGCCCAAACAAACGACATCACAATAGTAAATATTCGAACTGAAGAGAGTCATCAATTTCCCGCGAATGAATGAAATCGATTAGAAAGTTCAAACGATGCGAACACGTGACCAGACATTCAGCAAATTTAAATTTGAGAATGAATTATGACGTAATTTCAAAATACAAACACGAGTGTAACGAGGAAATGGCACGATTGTCACATCGTACTTTACAAAAAAACCCACCTCACCCACTTAAAATATTTCGCTGGTTTCTTAACAACTTCCGCGAAGTAAAACCACGTGGATAAATCCAAAGCGTAACGTTTACCGGAAATTAACAAAGTTAAAAAATAATTTTGGAATCGGTTCGAGCAAAATTACTTACGCTTCGAATTTGTTATTCATGACGTCGTCTACGGAAACCATTAGAATTTTTTCTACAGAACGGTCGCTAGTGGCCACGAGAGTGCAGACGCCAACTAATTGAAAGTGTTGCCAACCGATGCGATAAATTAAATACGCAATAAATCCGCAACCGGATATAGATAATTAACGTTCAGTAATTAAATAATATTATTTTTATGTTTTCCGTGTTTTTTTTAAGTCTAAATCAAATAGTAAATAATTTATTTTTTATTTCCGAGTGAAATATTTCTTGCACTTCGTCTACCAGGCCGGATGGCCGAACAGCTATTAGAGCGGCAGGCTGAAACCTCTGAGAGACTCGAAATAGAACCTAGACGGGTCGAAAAGTTTACACGAAGGCGCTATCACGCCGTGGTATTGTAATTAACGGAGGTTACAAAAGAAACTGTTTAATTAATGTATCTTCTATTCTGATGTTTCAAAAGTTTTAACAGAGAAATAAATTAAGCAGTATAGGTTTTGGTTTATTTCCTTACGGCAACGCGACACACGGGCGATCTGCCGAGAGGACGTTTTCCCAAAAAAGTTGTATGGGAAACTGGCCCCTATTTAGGTATTACTAACGTGAAGAAACAGTGGAAAACTCCACGTGGCCAGCTCGTTGGCCAAGCCCGAACCCGCGATCAACTACTAATGTTCAGTGGTTTTGTCTACTCGGACACCGGTGCCCTTTAAACAATACAAATGAGTAGGATCAACACGGGTCCTTTATAGGGATAATTTTCACAAGTATTGTTGATTTGTCTTTCGAGACTTTATAAAATTTTTTACTCTTTCCACTATTCGTAAACCAGGACTTTTCTCTAGGCCTATTACGGTTTTCGTCCTCCCCATTGTGGGTTTGGCCCACTCCTTACCGTGTATACCAGCCTTTACTGTATTTACTATAATTCTTTTTATTATTAAAACAAACAAAGGCATTCTAGACTGTCTATATGCAGAGGTTGAAAGACATAGTTACAGTGCAATCTTAAAATCTTTTTGCAGTGAGTGGGAAAACAGGAGGAGCTTCTAGAACAAACTAAAGTAACAACAGACTGGATGTCAAAAGAGTTAAAGTAAGTTTCAACATCAGCACTTGACTAAGCTATATTGGTATGGCTGAAGCCACTGCAAAGAGACTTTGCAATAACATTGTATATTTTTAATATTATAACAAATTAATACCAATTTTCAATAAAAGCATTTCATCATGTTCTCAAAAAAGGATTTTAAATCAAAATATATAAACATTACATTATATTTAAAAANTGTTTAAATTATTTAATTAAAATTATAATTATTAAATTTGACATGTGATGACGCCTAACGCCTAACTCTAATTCCAAATTATCTTAAATTATTATCATCAATATAGCCGCTTCTAGCCCATTAATTCGGCTTTGGTTGCTTTAAATATTTTAAATCAATGTTTTATAACTAACACACTAAACATTCTAAAATATTTGGTGCTTTATAGAGGAATGCTTCATTTTCTATCACACATATTTGATTTATAATAGCACAATAAGTGTGAAAGTTCTTAGTGCTATTCCAAATGTTCTTTAATTGCAAAAATTGCTTAGTAAATATGTATTAAATTAGTTGAATTTTTGAATACAGACACCTTCTCTTAAGGCTGGTATACATGATAAGGAAATCCTCAAAGGATGTGCTTAACAGACGAAAAAAACTTGGATATAACTGGCTGGATCGAACACACTGCCTTGATCTAATTTCTGCTGATTGTATACAAATCGCATACTTTGCAACTATTAAAACATTGTGTCTGTACCCCCTTTGCTGTACACACTCACAAACTTGTCATGTTTGTTTTTATACTGTTTCACTGAACATATTTTGTCTTGTCACTGTATTTTTACTTGTTCAACAATTATGATGCAGACGCTCAATAATCCGACATGTCCCTTCAATCTTTCCCTCCCTACTTACAATCACTTTCTCTCCTAATTTCAACTTCATCACTTCTAATTTCTTACAGGTAAAGTCTGTGCACATACAGACAACCTCTCTACTCTTTTAATGTAATGTAATGCTGATTGTATTTTTACGNGAGGAGCTTCTAGAACAAACTAAAGTAACAACAGACTGGATGTCAAAAGAGTTAAAGTAAGTTTCAACATCAGCACTTGACTAAGCTATATTGGTATGGCTGAAGCCACTGCAAAGAGACTTTGCAATAACATTGTATATTTTTAATATTATAACAAATTAATACCAATTTTCAATAAAAGCATTTCATCATGTTCTCAAAAAAGGATTTTAAATCAAAATATATAAACATTACATTATATTTAAAAAAAGCATATTAAACTTTAAATTATTAAACCAATATTTAATAATTTAAAGACCATTTATAGTATATATGACTTTACATTCTACTTTTAGGAACAAACCTCAGTAGGGTTATTCAATTGTAAAACAAAGATAGAAAAACAAACTAAAATACATAAATTCTATAAAATATTCCTTCAAATATTTCTTTGCAAATGAATTAAGTATAACATACAAGTCACCAAAAGCCTGAATGTACACAAATTAAAACTTAACACCATGTATAGAGTCTTCCAGCAAATAATATGTATTGAAATCAAATTGTCCCAAGAAAAAGGCCAGAAATTTGAATTTTTGGTCTCTTTTGGAGGGCCTGCATCAAGCATTGATCATTACGCAACGTTCTGTAACAATCAACACTTGATGCAGGCCCCGAAAGATGCCAAAAATATTATTTGCCGTATGTTGTTTAATTTTAATTCAAATTCAGTATAGTCTATGTAATGGTTGACCATTAATAGAAATGCTCAAAAACAATGTGAGGAACACAGTTTTTATTTATAGAAATATTTTCATTCTTCAAGCAATTTTTAAAACAGTTAAAATTAGGATTAATAACAAATAGGCTTTAATCCATTCATATAATTAAAATAATTAAAATTTACAATTTATCATCATCCAAGACAGCACACCTTAAGATTTAATACCAAATTTATATAAACATGCTTTAATAGGAGAAACTAAAATCATCATTTATAATTTTACATTCACATAAAAGGGCATATTGCAAAAGATCAGTAATTTGGAAGGAAATTCAAAAATGACTTAACAATATTTAGGTAAATAAACAAAAGGATCGCTGCAAACGATTAGGGTTTCAGAAGGGCGATATCGCAAATGTCACACATTGACCATCGGTTACTTCGACTTTACTCCTAAAGGCAAGGTCTCCGACAAGGACCCGACCACCACATTCAGAGTTATATTTGTACCAACGATTACACTCAACAACAAAAGCAAAGAATAATACAAATTGGGTCGCACGAAGATTTAAACCGGGGGTGACAAACAGGCAGTCTGCGGATGGACACGGCCCATCAAGGCTTCGCAT